CTGGGGTTTTTGGGTTTATCAAACAGTAGATTGCTATAGTCATTGACTACTGGGTCTTGCATGCCTAACCTATTCCACTGATCCCTCACTCTATTTCTTAGCCAGTACCAAGTAGTTTTGGTGATTGCTGCTTTATAATACAATTTAAGATCTGGAATAGCTAAGCCACCTTTCCTAGCATTTCTTTTCATTAGTTCCCTTGATATTCTGAACCTTTTGTTCTTCCAAATGAATCTTGTTATTATTTCTGGCTCTATAAAATAATTTAAAAACATTTCTAATAAAAAGTAATGATTTCAAATGAATTTGATTTCTTATTATTGGTTTTGCTGTATTAGGTTTTTGGGAAATTTTAATGTTTAACTAAAAAGGTTATCAAGGAGACTTAAATGCCCTTAATTATCATTTTATTTAAAATTTTAAAATCTCATTGCAAACTTTAAGGGAGCTTTTCAAGAAATTACAAGACAGCAAGTATATATATATATTTTTAAAATAAAGAATTTGTAGGACTTAATTGTTGAAGGGGGAGGGGGAGATGGAATGGTTAATCATCACAAATGTGAAATATAAATATATTAAAAACTTAACTGTGTTGTTAAAAATAGTGTGTTCTCTTCCTCTAGCATGTTTATCATCCTAGTTATGCTTTATTCAAGTTGATACTGGAATTAGTTTATATTATTTTGAGTATTACCCATCTGGGCAGTGATGACAAGTATTCTGTATTCTAGCATGTTGTGCCAGAAAAGTTGTGACTGCCAGGAGTTAATATTACCTGAAAAGTAGATTGTTTCATATGCTGACAGCAGACAATGTACATCTTCAGGAGAAATGGGGGAATTATTGGGGTGGGATGTCATTTTAGACATATGATTTCATCCGTGTACATAACTGCTTGTGTGGGAGCCATTCTAATGCCTATTAGCAACTTTACAAAGCAGCTAAAATAATTTTAATCCTACTAACTTAAATCCCACTAATACAGATTAGCAACTAAAATAATTTTAATCTAATAAGCATATATTGGATTGGTGTCATTTTAAACTAAAAAAGTTAAGTGGTTAAGTGGAATCAGTTTCTAAGATGAATAGTCTTCTTTCTCCCTCCCCCCCAATAACAAAAGGATTATTTAGACTTCAGATATAGAGCTTCAGCCATTTTCACACACCGTGACAAACATTTATTTAAAGAGTGCTTGCCCTGTTTCCCTATATGCAGAGATGTGGTTTAATGGTCTGAATAACAAGACTGGCTTCTGGGTTGTAATTTCCATTCTGCCTCTATTTTCAGGATGACCTTGGACAGGTCACTTTTCCAGTTTCCTGAAAAGAGAAGAGCTAATATGCTTAGACTGCTGGATTTTTTTGTTTGTTTGTTTGTTTTTGGCATGGAGAGAAGGTTGAAGTTTAATACATTTGATTCTACCAGTGGGATTTACCTAACAGATAAAAATCTTAACACAGGTTACAGTTATTGGGCTTATATGAGTATAGGTCTTACCTCATTTCACTAGAAATCTAATTTTTATGATGTGGACATTTTATTTTTCAAAAATAGCCTTGAAGTTCTCTATTTGCAAATGCATTCTTAGATAAAATTTAAAAGACTGTTTTAATTGTCAGATGCTATATTGCACATAAACCTAAAATTTTGTTTTACCAAAAATATTAATTCTTTGTTTACATTTTGAAATGTAATCAAGTCCTTTTGGCCAGGCAAGTAATAAATTATTAGTCCTAGTTTTTTTTTCACTTTTATTTTAAATAGGAACTTGATGAAACCAATAAAAATAGTCTTTAAGCACTACTGATGAGAGAAATATGAATTAAAACAATACTCAGGTACTACCTCACACCTATTAGACTGTTAGAAGGGATGTGGGAAAATTAAGGCACTGTTGGTAGAGTTGTGAACAGATTCAACCATTATGTAGAGCAATTTTAAACTCTGCCCAAATCTTTATAACACGTCTTTTCTGGTGGCAAAGAATTGGAAATTGAGAGGATGCCCATCAATTGGGGAATGGCTGGACAATTTGTGGTATATGGTTGTAGTGAAATACTATTGTGATACAAGAAGTGATGAGCTGGTTGCTCTCAGAAAAACCTGGAGCGATTTACCTGGAACTGACAGAGAGTGAAGTGAGTAGAACCAGGAGAACATTTACACAATAACAGCAACACTGTAAGATGATCAACTGTGAATGATTTAGCCATTCTAAGTAATGCAATGATCCAAGACATCTCTGAAGGACTTAAGATGAAAAATGCTATGCATCCCCAGAGAAAGAACTAGTGGAATCTGAACACAGATCAAAGCATGCTTTTTTTCTTTCTTTATATTTCTGGGGTTTTTATTTTGATCTGTGTTTTCTTTTACAACCTGACTAATATGGAAATGTTTTGCATGATTACACATTTATAACCTATATGAAATTGCTTGTGTTCTCAATGAGGGGAATGGGGTGGAAGAGAGAAAATTTGGAACTCAGTTTTAAAAATGAATGTTGAAAATTATTTTTACATGTAATTGGGGGAAAATAAAATATTAAATTAAAATTTTAAAAATAATCTTTAAAATTGATTTGGCTGTGCAGCAGTTTGACAGTGCCTAAATTTAATCCAATTATGACAAATGTAACATCTATCTATATGTGACAAAATTACCCTTAATTCTTAGCTGATACCATTTATTTCAGGCAAATTTGAAACAAATCTTAGCACAACTACATAATCAGTATAATCCTTGGAAATTGGATTTTTTATATTGTAGGATTTGGATGTTAGATCTGAAAGGGACTTTAGAGGTCATTCATGTTTGATCCCCTAATTTTACAGATGAGGAAACTAAGACCCTGGTAGGAAAATGACTTAGTAAATGTTTGAAAGACTAAACAAATGATTTTTTTTAATCTAAAAAATGACCTTTTTATTGCTTTGAATTTTAAAAACACTAACTTTTCTCCTTATAAAAATAAATGGGAAAAGAGTGGTGCAAGTGAAATTGGGAATATACACTATATGAAGCTTCTTTTTAAAAAAATAGTATTTTATTTTTTTCCCCCAGTTACATGTCAAGACAATTTTTAGCATTCATTTTTTTAAGATTTTTTAGTTCCAAATTTTTTCCCTCCTCTCTTCCTAAAGTGTAAAACATTTCCATATTAGTCACAGTTGTGAAAGAAGAAGGAAATCAAGAGGAAAAAAAAGCACAAAAAAGAAGTGAAAGAAAGTATGCTTTGATCTGCTTTCTGAGTGCATTAATTCTTTTTCTGGATGTGGATGGCATTTTCCTTTGTGAATCCTTTTTATTTGTCTTGGCTAATTTTGTTGCTTGGAAGAGCTGAGTCATTCATAGTTAATCATGACATAATGTTGCTGATACTGTTTACAGTGTTTTGCTGGTTCTGCTCATTTCATTTTGTATCAGTTCATACAGGTCTTTCCAGGTCTTTCTGAAATCTTCCTGTTGATCATTTCTTATTGCACAATAGTATTCCATTACATTCACATAACCACAGCTTATTTAGCCATTCTGTAATTGATGGGCAATCCCTCAATTTCCAATATTTTGCCACCATGAAAAGGGCTGCTGTAAATATTTTTGCACATTTAAGTCCTTTTTCCTTTTTTATGGTCTCTTTGGGATACAGACCTAGTAGTGATATTGCTGGATCAAAGGGTATACACGATTTGGTTGCCCTTTGGGCACAGTTCCAAATTGCTCTCCCTAATGGTTGGACCAGTTCACAATTTCACCAACAGTGTATTAGTGTTGCAGTTTTTCCACATCCTGTCCAACATTTATCATTTTCATTTTCTATTATATTATTTGATAGGTGTGAGGTAGCTTCATTTTTTTTAAAGGTTATTTCAAATTTTATAACTGTAGTTCTGCCCTAGTCATCTATGTCCCTTCTAAACTTCTGTGTTCCTCTGTGTATTTTTAAAAAATTATTTAAATGAATTTTCAAAATCTAGGTGGAAAATAAGACATGAATTAATGATTTAATTTGTTTTTCATTTTTTTCCTTTCCTGAAAATATTACAAAATATCAGTGATTAAAGATACTTATAAGAAATAAATCTGGTATCTGTTCAGTATCTGAAAGACATGTATCTGCAGATGCTTTTTCAAATATCTATCCTTAGCTGTTTCACTCATGATGTGTCTCATGTACCATTGTCACAAATACAATGAAACAAGAATAAGTAATCTTATGGAATAACCTGAACAGTATTAATAACTAAGAACCGTTATTATAAAAATCCTTTTTGTTGTTAGAAATATGTTATCAAACATTGGAAATATGTTTAACTTTATTTATTGAAGTATGAGAGTGTATTAATCCTGCCCTTCACTCAACAGTCACAAGATGCCCTACACTTTGTCTTTCTCTATGATGACTTTTAAATGTATATGAAATAGCATATCTCTCTCCAGGGAGCAAAGATTTGCTTAACGGGTTGTGAACAATAAATGGAAATCATAGTTTCTCATCTATATTGCCGTTGTTTAGTATAGAGAGGGCCTTGGAAACAGGACACATGAATACATGATGTCTTTTATTATTTAATCCTAATAAATGTTTTTATAAACAGGTCTCATTGCTTTAAGTACAGTATGTAAGTGATGTTCAAAATTGTGTGATGCACTAGTTTCATAACCATTTTATGATATTCTATTCTCATTTATTACACATGTAATGATTACAAACATTATTTATGCGTTAGGCTTTTAGTTACTTTGCATATCTTGATATAGTCCTTAATTTCTTCTGTTGCTAGAAATCAATAAAATTGTGTAGTAAACCCTGTAATACCTGTTACCCTTGGCATATTGATCTCATTACTGTAAAAAGCAGTTATAAACAAATGTTTTGGACCTGCTTTGTTTTAAAAGACAAAAATAAAATTATATTAAAATGGGATTTTAGCTATTTAAAATATTTATTTAGTGAGTTTGTGTTGAGTTTATTATTTCTACTTTTTTCCCAGAGTGCTTGGCATAAATGAATGGCAGAACACAGGATTCCAGTATGATGTCATCAGCTGTTTGAATCTGCTTGATCGTTGTGATCAGCCACTGACTTTATTAAAAGATATTAGAAGTGTACTGGAGCCAACTAGGGGCAGGGTCATCCTTGCATTGGTTCTGCCTTTTCATCCATATGTGGAAAATGGTAAGTATGTTCTGACTGAAGTTCTGGGAAATCTTGAGATTTTAACTCTTGATGTTCTATTTTCAATAAGCATTGAGCGTTGTGTTGTTTGAGTGGCTGTTCATTTGTTCTTTATTTTATTTCTATTGATATTTTTGTTTTTATATTACCTTGATTTTTCAGTATATCCCTTCTCCCTCTCCTACTCCAAAAATTATCCCTTGAAGGAATGCTTGAAAAGGAAAGGAAGGGTTGAGCACCATTAGCTAACCATGTTATACTATTAACCATGTCTGATAGTATAGCTAAAAATCCACATTGATTTCCCTACCTCCGCAAAGGCGGCAGGGAGGTGAGTAGCCAGTGATTTAAGATATTTTTTATTGACCCATAGGTTGTTGTAAAAGCTTTGTCTAACATAAACTTGGTTAATATTTATTTTATTAGGGATTTTACTACAATCTGAGTGGACCAATGCAATGGCCACACTTAATCTTAGAATTGTGTGGTTATACATATATTTTCTATCTGATGTTCAGATCGTGTTAGAGGTCGTATAGTTCAACTCATTTCTCTATATATTCATGAGTCTCTGCTACAGTTTCCTTAACATGTGAACATCCAGCTTTTGCCTAAATACTTCCACTTGTGGGAAACCTCTGCTATTTTGGGTTACTCTTATTGTTATAAGTATACAAATAAGCTGCTGGTCTAACTACTTAATTTTTAGGGGCCTAGAGTTACATAGAGGATTTTTGAGATTTAAATTGTCACTTGTAAATGATTCCTGTCTAGTTAGTGATTGCCCTATCTGTTGTTTTGTGATGTACATTTCTTGGCATAGACTCTAAAAGATTAATTTCTTTATCTTATTTTTCTCTGTGAAGACCATTAGTATTCTGACATGTATCATTTATTTCTATGACATACTGTTTTAATTACATAACTGTGTTCTTTAGAAGCATTAATATTTCTACTCTCAGGATAAAGAATATAGCAAAAAGGGTAGTTCAATTTGATATCACTCAATGATAGATGTGATCTCTAGTTTCAACTTGATTACTCCCCAGTCAGATTTCCACCTATATGTCATTTGCATTTCAGTGCCTGTTAGAGGAAGTAAAGATTCTAAATGAAGTGTTTCAACAGTCATTTCCTTAATATACTGCCTTGGGCAGCCTTGGCTTCAAAACCTTTAACAACTTATAAACACTTTCTCCAACTCTAATAGTATTTATCAGTGTCATACTAATAATATAACTAGGGAAAATGTGTGGCCTTAAGACCAACAACAGTGCCCAGTTGCAGATTTTGAATTGCATGTGACTTTTTAATTACTTAATTGACTCTTCCCTGCTGAGCTGCTTTATAAAATTTTTATTTTCCAGTCTAAGTCCCTCCAGTTTTCGTGGTTGATAACATTTGTGAAATGCTTTTAAATTTTCCTGAGAGGGAAATAGGGACATCTTTGGTAGGAGCTGAGAGGACTAGGTATAAGGAAGGAGCCACCAAGTCCACATCTTATGTCTGCCCTCTGTTTTCACATTCTTGTTAGTAATAGACTAGTAGTTTATTATCTTGAAGAAAAAACTGTAGAAAGTCTAGGTGACGCTGGTATTTAACGTACCACAGGGGAATGTGGTCTAGCATGTATTCTCATTGAGAGTACATTTATTTGCCCTTATTTTAATTTTAATACTTGATAGAATTAGACTACAGTTCCTTTTCTCTGTGTTTGTACTCGCTAGTAGTGCTCCTAGGGGTCTTTAAGTTTTCCTGTGTCCCATTGAGTGGTCATATGATAGAACTTTAATGCTACTTCCTAGCATACCAGGGGATGGAAGAACCTGGAGAGAAGAGGTATATATCTAAACATGGGTCTCACTTCCTCATGCTGCCTACCCTAAACCTTCTGGAGGAAGTAGAATTGGACAAGAAGGCAATCTGTCCTATCCGTGGAAAACAAGCTCTTTGTTATGGACTCACAGGGTGATGTTGCATGTTGAGTGTAAGGAATCTGGTATATGATATGTTGTAAACCTGAAACTAGAACCTTTGTTGGGGTGGTTGACCTCTGGTGACCCATAAATCTTGCAAACTGCTGTTGCCCTCTTTTTATTGTCACTTCCTTCCCCTAAATTACTAGTTAGATCCTCCTTATTTCTTCATGAAACTTTCAGAGGCCATTGAGGTGCAAAGTGATGTTTATGCATGAACCCTAGACTGCTTTTTGGATATCTTAGTGAAGAAGAGTAATTTTGGTTCAATTCTGTTTATTTTAACAAAAAGCAGTTATAGATGAGATGATGGGTTGTTTTTGATATTAAAATTAGGCCTTCATGGCCTATGAAATTAGACAGTTATCTACAGGAATCCTTTCCCAGCCCCTTTTAATTCTACTGCCTTCCCTTTAAACTTAAAAAAAATTTTCCTTTTTATCCTGTATATAGCTTGTTTCTAAATATTTGTTGGCTTATTGTCTCTCTTCCGTTAGGTTATGATTTCCATGGGAGCAGGGACTATCTTTTGCCTTTTTTTTTTTTGGTATCCCCAGCACTTAGCATAGTACCTGGCACATAGTAGGTGCTTAATACATGGTTATGGACCGATTTAGTCACTGAAAACATTGAAGTTTAAAATCCAGGTGGGTTGTTGGATCAAATGGTGAATCTTGACTAAGTATTACTAAAACTAACAAAAAATGTCTTGTTTTGAGTTTCTTGGTTCTATTTTCAGATATTTTCTTTAAATAATTCTTTTACTCAGTAAGAAAAAGAAAAATAGGTGAAATGGAAAAATGATGTGAGCATCAAATTAGTCTAATGGGATCAATACTTTCTGTAATTTCCTTAATCACTTTGCTTTCATTTGCTGTCTTAATCATATTTATTTGCCAGTTCTGTCTGAATTACTTGTCAGTGTCTTTAAATGTATTTGAAACAACAACAACAACAAAAAGATTTATGAGAGTCCCATTCGTTAAGCATTTGAACTTGGTGGTTCAAAATCTGATCATTTTTCATCAGATTTTTTTGAGTGCAGGTTAGAGAAACTCTCGTTTAATGGTAGAAATAGTAACTAGGATCAGAATTTTAGCAGTATAAGGGTCCTTAGAGGCCAGTTAGTCATTTAACAGATTAGGAAGCAGAGATGAAATGACTTGCTCAGAGTCACGTGGAAGAGCCATCTGGAACCCAAGGGTCAGTGCTCTTTTCCTTATCTGAAAGTTTCTTGAGGGCAAGGACTATTTGATTTTTGTCTTTGTATCCTCATTATCTGGCACAGTGCATGGCATACAGCAGGCATAAATGCATGTTAATTGATGATACTTTTCCTCTCATGTTTCCTGAGAGAACCCTGACATTTTGAATATTTGAATGCTATTAAGTGCTCTACATATTACAGCAACTAGGACATTCTCTGTCCCTTGTGTTTCCCCACTCATTTCCAGTGTTGTTTCTATTTTATGTTATGGGTACTAATTGATAAAGTAGTGAGATTCACATATAGACAACAGCACAATTTATCTAATGAAAAGGTTCCTGGTTATGTGAATTCCAGATGAATTAATTTCAAAATAGATTCATCAGGACAAAATTTCAGCCCTACCCTAGGACTTCTAGAAAGAGGAAAATGTTTACAGGCGATTTCCAGCTTGACCTTTACACATGAATGGCAACAGGTACTCCTTTCCCTTTCCTCTTAACTGCCACTGGCTTCCTGGCATTCCTTGTTCCCCAAAGACCTATCTCTGTGTCCTTCCCCCTCCCCTCCCTCATACCCTTGCTACCCCACAGCTAGTGCAGGAGAAAAGGGAGTACATGGAGGAACATGAGAGAGGAGAAGAGGGTAAAGTGGATTTTGCCATGGTTGCAGAAACTCTGCTACTGTTTCTTCCATTCTCCTTTCCCCCTTCTCCAGCTTGGTCTCATCAGGAGTAAGCAGTATGGAAGGAGAATGGAAGGCGGGGAAGGTCATTTCCTCCCTCACACATAGACCCTGCTTAACCTTATCACAGGTGGTTTGGAGCTAGGGGAGGGGAGGGAGGAAAGACCCCAGAGGGTAAAGGAAAAGGGAGTTTTCACTTGCTTTACCAGGACTTCAGGTCTCTGGCATCTCAAGTTGGAAACTGAATAGAAACATGTATGGTGGCTGGGGTCTACAGTACTATTTGTAATATATTTCAGGTATGTTAAAAGATAAGCAGGGCTTCCATTGCTGGCCTGGAAACCTAATCAATCAAATAATCAGTGGGCATTTATTAAGTAGCTCCTATATGCCAGGCATTGTGCAGGGTTGCTGGGAATAGAGAGACAAAGATGAAATAGTCCCTGCCCTCAAGGAATTTACATTACCTCAGGGGAGATATTATAGACAAATATAAATATATACAAAACTAAATTGAAAGTGATTTTTATGAGGGAGGGGAAGGGGATCAGGAAAGACTTTATATATACAAGGTGGTGCTTCAGCTGAGTCTTGAGGGAAAATAAGGGGTGAAGCTGAGCAGGGCATGCATTCCAGGCAAGGGACAGAGTAAGGTGGTGAGGAGACAGGAAATAAGAGCATCCCTTATGAGGAACAGAGAAAACCTGCTTGGCCACACTGAAGAGTGCAGGAGAGAGAATGATGTATGAGGCTGGGAAGGTGGCTTAGGGCCAGTCTGTGAAGGGCTTTCAATGCCAAGCAGGGATTTATATTTTAAAAAATCTTAGAGTCAGTACAGAGCCACAGAAGTTTCTAAGTAGGAATGTGAGTCGGTTAAGGAAAATGGCAGCAGTGTGACGGATGAGTTGGAGAGGGAAAGGGACTAGAGGCAGAGAGACACAGTAGGACCATCATACCAGTAGTAAGTAGAGTTTGTTTCTGCTAGGGAAAAATCTTCTAAAACTTGGCAATTAAGAACACAATCATTTTGGTAGTTGGGGATTTTCATATTCTAAAGCAAGTGCCATTTTACTGTAGAAACTTTGTCTTGTAATCAACATGGCCCAAGAGCAATCTTTTCAAATAACTCCCTGTGAATGAAGATAGAAAATTTAATAAATCACGTCTAGAAAGGTATACAGTAAAATAAATGAACTTGGCTTCCTTTTTTGCTCAGTAAGCTTGTGCTGTGTTACGTCTTATTTAGCTTTTGTTCAAATAATTCAAGCCATAGATGTAATGTTGTTCTCTCATGGTTTTATTCTCCCACATTCCAAAGTATAGATTTCCACCAGACTTCAAAAAAAAATTACACAATGCAGGATATCAGTTTGCAAATAAGGGGGAAAACTAGCTCAGTTCAAAAGAAATATTGAAAGGAAATACATAGTAAACTTTTTGTTAAAATCCATTTTAAATAACGAGCGTTCAGTTCTTGCAAAGCTTTTGTTTCAAAAAGATATTGTTTATTAAACTGAAACCATTTTCAAAGGGAAAATCTCACTGTTCATTACTGAAATGCTAATGAATACAATAAATGTTCTTCTTGCCTTGCACACCTTTTTGCATTTTTAGAACTCCAAGTGTAAGAAGGCAGGGTCCCTTTCTGCTATGATATGATGCAGTGGTGACACCTAGAGTTGAGGGAGCTCAGTCTCAGGTTTTTTTATTCCAAGAGGAGGCTTCTGGAATCTCTGGTCATTTAAATGCGGTAGAGGCAGCATTGGAATATGTGATTCTGTAGTCTACTCTGTCACAAAGTTGATGGAAGTGGTGGATGAATAAACACTGTACTATCACCTCATTGCTGTATTATGGAAAACAATGGGTGTAGCTTCAAAAGTGATGTTGTGCAGGGTGTACTAAATCTATGTGTGGAATTGATACTTTTTTACAAGATGCATTTCATTAACTCAAATCTTGGTGCATAAGGCCTTGTTTCTTTTTGCCTCAATAGAGATAAGACTTACTATCAAAATACTTGCAGTAAAGTCTCTAGTCATGTGCCTAGATGTAGAGGTGATTTCAGTTCTGGCTCAGAAATAGTAGAAATAGTAGGTGGAAGACTGTATGAAGGACATTTGAGCCTCTCGTTTTATTGGTGTAGGGAATGAAGATGAGCAACTTTTCTGCAACTTATAGTCTCAGGAAAGTTGCCTGAGACACAGAGAGGTCAAATGCCTTATTCAGAGTTGAGCTAGTATGTATGTATTGAAGTTGGGATTTGACCTTGAGTTTTTCTGACTCAGAGACTGGTTCTCTCTCTTTGTCTGCCTCCTTTAGAAGTCCAATATACGTACCTGGTGGGAGGATGCCCTGTTTCTTTTTGACAATGATAAAGTTAATACTTTGAAACCAGACCCCATCCATAAAAATATAAAACCCTGTTATAATATTTCTGCCATTGTTTGGCAAAACTAACTTGATTCTATGTTATATTGTTTCACCTGGTATTTCATTTTCTTGAAACGTACTTGGGTAGAATGCATGGAATATAGAAAATATAATTTGTAAATGGACTTTTTTTTTTTGCAGTTGGGGTTAAGTGACTTGCCCAGGGTCACACAGCTAGTAAGTGTCAAGTGTTTGGTCTGAGGCCGAATTTGAACTCAGGTCCTCCTGACTTCAGGGCCGGTGCTCTATCCACTGTACCACCTAGCTGCCCCAATGGACTTCTTTTTAAAAAATCAGTCTCTTAGAATTTTCTATGAACAAATCCATGGTAGAAAATATTTGGGTTTTTTCCACTTTTTTAAATTTTATTTTTCACTAATTTCTAATGATTGCAGTTTTTTCTTCATCATCCAAAATGCTTATTTAAATACTCAGTTGGCATTTTTGTAGTTTGGTTTATAAAATATTTATAAAATCCCTGATCAATGTAGGTTGCTCACTGCAATCATAACTTCTGGAGTAAAATTTTCAGTGGTTTCATTGAAAAACTAGTACTTTAAAAGGTGAGAGAATTCTCGATGGTCTTTCTTTTTTCTCTTTTAACTAGTATTTTATTTTTTCAGTTACGTGTAAAGACAATTTTTAACATTCATTTTTTTATATAAAATTTTGAGTTCTAAATTTTCTCCCTTCCCCTCTCCTCCTCCCACCCTAAAACAGTAAGCAATTTGATATAGGTTATATAAGTGCAGTCACGAAAAACATATTTCCATATTAGTGATGTTGTGAAAGAAAAAACAAAACAAAAGGAAAAACTTACGAAGAAAAAAATAAAGTGTTAGTAGTATGCTTCAATCTGCATTCAGACGCCATCAGTTCTTTCTCTGGGTGTGAATAACATTTTCCATCATGAGTCTTTTGGATTTGTCTTCGATCACTGTATTGCTGAGAAGAGCTAAGTCAATCATAATTGATCTTTGCACAGTGTTCCTGATATGGTGTTCAGTGTTCTGGTTCTGCTTGCTTCACTTTTGTTCCAGGTGTTTATGAAATCTGCCTGTTTGTCATTTCTTATAGCACAATAATATTCCATTACACTCACATATAATTGGTTTAGCCAATCTTAAATTGATGAGCATGATCTAAATTTCCGACTCTTTGCCACCACAAAAAGAACTGTTATAAATATTTTTGTACATGGAGGTCCATTTCCCTTTTTTATAATCTCTTTGAGATACAGCCCTAGTAGTGGTATTGCTGGGTCAAAGAGCATGCAGTTTGATTGCCCTTTGGCATGGTTCCAAATTGCTCTCTAGAAGAGTTGGATCAGTTTACAACTCCACCAACAGTGCATTAGTGTTCCAATTTTCCCACCTCCTCTCCAGCATTCATCATTTGCCTTTCTTTTCATATTAACCAATCTGATAGGTGTGAGACAGTACCTCAGAGTTGTTTTAATTTGTGTTTCTCCAATCAATAGTCATCTAGAGCATTTTTTCATATGACTATAGATAGCTTTGATTTCTTGTCTGAAAACTGCCAGTTCATATCATTTAACCATTTGTCAAATGAGAAATTACTTGTATTCTTATCCCTTTGACTCAGTTCTCTATGTTTTTGAGAAATGAAGCCTTTATCAGAGACATTTGCTATAAAACTTGTTTTCTAGCTTTCTGCTTTCCTTCTAATTTTGTTTGTGCAGAATCTTTTTAATTTAATATAATAAAAATTGTCCATGTCACATATTGTAATGCTCTTTATTGCTTGTTTGGTCATAAATTCTTCCCTTCTCTACTGTGTTTCAAAGTTAGACTGTGCTCTTCTGTTTTCATAGACGTAGTCATCTCTCTCCTAAAGAAAAATAAGGCACTTTTAAGTTGATATAATCACTTGCTATTGTTAAGCAGTGTCTGTATATTGCAGAATATTGGAAATGACAAACAGTCTTTCCAACAGCACCAGAGAAGTACAAAAAGGAAAATGTTTGGTTTTTCCATGTAATAGAATGAGACATGGAAGCAGAAACATTCTTAACTTTTTCAGGTGTTCTTGTGAGAGTGGAACGTCAGAAATCCTTATTTTTAGTTGTATCCTATCTTTCCCCTTTCTTAAAAATAAAATCTTTAGTAAGACAAGATTATGAAAGCATATTTTTAAAATTATAATTTGTACTTGTTTTATCTTTGAGCATTGAAATATCTTCATTTCTGCTACTCTAAATTACTCAAAAGTTATAAATATATAGAAGAATAAATTCATGTATTAATTGACATTAATAGCACAACAATTTTTCCTGTTTTAAAACTATGGTATTTTTCTGCTGCATTTTAACATATCATTTTGTGAGCCCCAAAAAGAAACAGTCAAGGATATGTAGGTAAAGAGGTTAATTGTCATTTAAAGTAAAATATCATTGTTGGTGTTATAAAGTTACAAAGTGCCTAAATCATAATAATGCATTCTATTCAAACAGAAAGACTGACTCTAAATATCTGTTCCAATAGTTTTAAACTTGCACCATGTTTGAAAGGCCTGCTTTTGTAGTATTCTAAGTATTGTTAGAATTTATATTGATTTGGTACTTATATAGCTATAAATCTGCATTTGTAAATTGCCTAATTTCTTTTTTAAAAATAGTTTGATTTTCTTTCCCCTTGGTTGAAAAGCTCCCAATTTCCCAGTTAGATCTATCTATCCAGATCCTTTCTTATGTGAATCTAACACTGTCTTTCTTCTAGGAATTTTTTTGTTTCCCAATTTACACATATGCCAATCTTTGACTTGTGAATCCTTCCTTCTGGCCCTAACAGTTCATTTCTTTACCCAATGAAAGCAGTTGTTTCATTGTACCTCATTTTCCTCTTTGGAAATAAAGCAGAAATCAAATATAACAACTAGCAAGCACCTACTTCTTGCTTTTGCATTCCTTGAATTCACTTTATCTCTTGAGTCTTGGTCCATTGAGAATTTATTTTTTTAAATTAATTTATTTTGATTTATCGACAATCACTTCCATATACTTTTGAGTTTAAAATTTTTCTCCCCCTCCCTACCCACCAACCTCCTCAAGATGGCGCACAATCTGCTATAGTCTATACATTTACATTCCTATTAAACATTTTCACGTTAGTGATGTTGTGAGTAGGAGTTAGAACCAATAGGAAGAACCACAAGAAAGAGGAAACTCAACAGAAGAAAAAAAATAGCAAATAGTATGCTTCAATCTGCATTCAAACTCCATAGTTCTTTCTTTGGATGTGGATAGCATTTTCCATCATGAGGCCTTTGGAGATGTCAATCCTTGTATTGCTGGGAAGGGTTACGTTTATCAATATTAGTCATTGCATAACGTTGCTGTTATTGTGTACAAAGTCCTCTTGATTCTGCTCACTTCACTCAGCATCAGACCATACAAGTTTTTCCAGGTTTTTCTGAAGTCTGCCTGCATCATTTCTTTTAGCACAATAGTATTCCATTACATTCATATACCACAGCTTGTTCAGCCATTCCACAATTGATGGGCATCCTCTCAATTTCCAATTCTTTGCTACCACAAAAAGAGCTGCTATAAATATTTTTGTACATGTGAGTCCTTTTCCTGTTTGTATCATTTCTTTGGGATATAGTCCTAGAAGTGCTATTGCTGGGTCAAAGGGTATGCACATTTTTATAGGCCTTTGGGCATAGTTCCAAATTGCTCTCCAAAATGGTTGGATCATTTCACAACTCCACCAACAATGCATTAGTGTTCCAGTTTTCCCACATCTTCTCCAACATTTATCATTTTCTTGTTTTGTCATCTTTGCCAGTCTGATAGGTGTAATGTGGTACCTCAGAGTTGTTTTGATTTGCATTTCTCTAATTAATAGTGATTTAGGGCATTTTTTCATGTGACTATAGATGATTTTAATTTCTTCATCTGAAAACTGCCTGTTCATATCCTTTGACCATTTATCCGTTGGGGACAGAATTTATTATTAAAAGCTTAAAAGGAACATCCATATATTTTTTAATTTTTCTTTTTGTTTAGTCTTTCCAGATGAAGACATTCTTAGCATGCTAGCTCATATGGGACTTACATGAAAATGAATCCTAGGTTGTTTGAGGTGGTGGCCCTTCATACAGACCTTTCCACATAATGCATTTGGAAATAAGTATTATCTTTCATTGATTCACTGAATATTTCTTGAGCATTTATTCTGTGCAATGCACTTTTTGGGTTGATGTGGGGAATATTTTTTTTCTTTTTGCTTTTAGGCAGTTGGGGTTAAGTGACTTGCCCAGGGTCACACAGCTAGTAAGTGTTAAGTGTTTGGTCTAAGGCCGGATTTGAACTCAGGTCCCCCTGACTTCAGGGCCGGTGCTCTATCCATTGTGCCACCTAGCTGCCCCTTGATGTGGGGAATATTAAAAAAAAAAAAGCAAACTGAAGGCATAATCTCAGACCCTTTTGGTCTAATGTACAAAATGTCCATGTCTGTCGAAAAAGTTGCCCATAATCCAGTGGTCCCATAAAAGTTATATTTGTCTTTAACATTTATTATTCTATACAGCATTACATAGTACATGAGAAAGCTAATTCATTTCTTTGAGACTCCTATTTTAGTCTTTTCTTAAGAAAACATAGCTATTTACTATAAGCTAACTAACACTGAAGTGTTAGTTTTCATAAGTTTGTGATAGCACATACTTACTTCACATTTTGTGTCCACGTATCTCTTATGATGTAGTTCTCGTGCAATTTCCTGAAAAATATGTCGAGCACTCCTCTTCTATAAAGAAGGGTGAGAAAGTTATTCCCTCTTTTGTAGCTTAAATTAGGACAGAGAAGGGTAGTTATTCTGTATTGCCAATGTTTTCCCCCCTCCCCAAGAACTTAACTTTATTGTGTGCTTTCTGTAAGTACATCAAATGAAAGTTATGGGTGAGTAATGTAAAATTAAATGACATTTTGTGGACAAACTGAGTTGTCTAACCTATTGTTTCTAGTGACAGGAATTATTTTTCTCTCTAAATCCAAATATTGGAATAATGTCATAGTGCATTTTAGGGGGGTGTCTAAATACTGATTTTAAAATATATTAGATTTGAACTCATTTTTTATAAATAGCCATACTTCAAAAAATGTTGTATAAGCATTAATGTATGTTCTGTACCTTCTGTGGTGCTTCATCAGTTCCTGTTTTCTTTCGTGTTTTCAATTTTAACTGCTAAAAAAGGAAAGCATTTATAAAAACATTTTTATATATTCTAAAGAATTATGAGAATTACCTTTTGCCTTAACACAGAGCTTCTTAACCAGGGGACCATGAACTTTAAAAAAAATTGATATCTATATTTTAATGTAATTGGTTTCTTTTGTAATCTTATTTATTTTATGCATTTAAAAAGTTTTATGGGAAGGGGTCTACAGACTTTACCAGACTATCAGAGATATCCATGACACAAAAAACATTAAGAATCCATACCCTAGTATAAGGTCCAAGTTTTTCCATCATATTCAACATAATGTTTAGTTAATTAAACCAAAAAAACCCTAATATTCATATTTTTTGAAGTGTATACATAAATCTTTTAAAATCATTAAGAAAATAAATAGAATAAGTCGGGTTTACATTAATGGTAAGATTTATTCCAATAGAAAGTGTAATGAGTACACATAAGAAATATCCCAAGTACTTTGGGCTTAATTGTTTCAAGTTAGCTTCTAGTTTTTTGATCAGCACTGTCTCTGTTAATAGACTTTTACTAGGACACTGATATATGTCTGTGTATGTCAGTTAAGACCAGGAGCTTAGGAAATTGTTGTAAGAATGGATTATATATAAGTTATTAGGAGGTCCTCTGAGATGAAAAAAATATTCTTATAAATCCATTTCAGTTAATAATATTTAACATTAGTATAATTTAACATTAAAACTTAAAAAGAAACAATAGTAAGTTTGACTTACTTTGGAGATGACTATGAAGATCACAGTTAGAGCAGCAATGTAGAAAGAGAGCAGAGATAAGAGGGCTATCAGGAGATTCTCTGCTTCATGGCTGAGAAGCTTATTCCCTTTATTAATAACAAAAACAGTCGTAATTACTGTTGAAAAGATTTTTTTAACAAAACTATGAACCAAGTATAACTTAAGTTACATGTAGAAAATATTAAAAATAGAGAACCTGAATTTACTCTGCTTGAACACTTACATAAAAGTTTTCCAGGTCTTTGACCTCAGTGTACACCCAAACGTAGAAAGATACTTTATTATCTCCTTAAGCTGTTTGACCTGAAATTAAATTTGCCTGAAATATTAAGAATTTCCAAAATTTAGAGTAGTCATTTGTTAGAATGATTTTTTAAAAATCAGTGTTATGCAAAGAATAACTTAGGACAAAATAGTTATTTAAAACTGATTTGTTGTTCATAAGTAATATAAAAATAACATTTATAAGGCTTTATACTTTTTATGAGGCTCATTCTTCACAACAACCCTGAGAGGTAGGTAATCCAAACAACTATTATTGTCTCCATTTTGTAGTCAAGGAAACTGAGACTCAAGAGAGCTTATGTGACTTTTCATAGTCACCAGTATTACTAAGTGGCAGATCTAGAAGTTGACCAAAGCCCAAGGCTCTTTCCACAATGCTCACAGAGGCATCCAGACTTCCACCTTGGTTTTACCCTTATCATATGTGTGTTTTAAATAATATTTGAAGAATTTGGGATTTTGTCCCATACTTTCTTTCCCTATGCAGATCATACCTCTTCTGTGACTTGGTAGAGTTTAAATATTTATGTCACCAAAATTCTATTAATGGAATCAAAACAACTTTGTTAAATGAAGGTATTGACATGTCAAATGTGGATATTGTGTCTGTAACACCAAAGATTTCAAATCCTCATTTCAGTTCTCCAAAAATCCTTTTTTAGGTGAGATAATCTACTTATTTCTTTTTTTGTGGTGAACATTATGCTAAAATGTAGCTGTTTGATATATAACTGAATGGTAGGAGTCTACAGCAGAGGATAAAAGCAATGAATAGGAGTTTTTAAACTCTTCTTGGACATGGCTTAGGAGACTGGGACTTCATAAACTGTACCAGTTACTCTTATTTGTGAAATTTTGAAAGCAAAAATATAGCCTGTTTCACATACCTTACATTTCTACCCTTTCAAGAAAAAGAGTCCTTAACCAGCAAAATAAGCAGGCTTAATCAATGGTAGAAGTCGTTAAAATAGAAATCTGAATTTAAGGTTTTTGAGGAATCCACAAATTACATGCCTACCCAGGTAAAGTAAGAGAGGTGGAAAGCCCCGGTCTCTGTTCTCCAAGAAGTCCTTTTGTCTTCCTGAGGTTAATGGCCCTGTCTCTTTAAAAGCTTGTTCTCTTCTTGTGAGCAGGTATTAATAAAAACTTAGTGAATGATGGATAGAGACACACAAACTTCCAAGTTGATTTTACTTTTGTCATCTCTTATGTGTGATTTAAATAATACTTTTAAAATTTGGGATTTTATCCCATATCCCTTCTGTCGTGCAGATCACAGCCACACCTTATGACCTGGGGGGAATGGGAGGAGAAGGGAACTAATTTTTTTTAACATTTTCATTTATTTTATTTTTAATTTATGGAATTAAGCGTTTCCATAACATAGTATAATAAAAAATATGATTGCACATGAGACTGCATATCTGTTAGGTATAACTATAATTAAGTTATCATGTAAATTTCATTGTGCTACCTATCTGCCTCTTGGTAGAGTTCATGGATTGCTGTGGTGAAAAAAATTCATCAGCTTGTGCCACCCTAATGATTCACTTCTTTGAACTTATCTAGACTGATTCTCAGGTGACAGACATACAGTCCCAACACTGGGCCTATTCCTATTTCTGACTTTGGTACGACTTCATTTCCATGCCCTTTTGGGGTGGATTTCATCCATTTTTGTGGATTGTGATTGAGAATTCGGGTCACCTCCCAACACTTTAGTAAAAGCACAGTAATATACACCAAATAAAAAGGAAATAGGGTCTTCCTAGAAATCCTTTATGGGGAGAAGAGTGATCACAGGAAGTGGAGGAGGAATTTCTTCATTTTCTTGCTCCTTCAAAGCACAGAGGCCAAACAAAGGAAACTTTTCCTGGATTGAAATACACTCATTAAAAATGTTAATATCAGTATCCCATTATTAAACCATAAATAATTTAATGTCTACTTTACAGTTAAGAAATATTTTTATGTGCTTGTGGTTTTTCAAATGGGTGGAAATAATTTTGACCATATGACTTGATGTTTTCAACACTATTGTCCATTCAACAAGAGGGATCAAGGAAAATAGGGATGTAGTTGCCTCAGTTTCTTTCCTTAGAACGTAGAAACCTCCTCATGTCCTTACAAAGAAGGCCCCCAACAGACTACTTAAGGTAATAGGAGTGGGCCAGAGAATTGATGTTTGGGGATTTTACTTTCAGAATTCCAGATTGGCAGGAATGGAATAGGGAAGTAAGTCAGTATTTTCTAGTTCAGGCCAAGAATGCTAACGCTAAGACGTCCTTCCTGTTTCCATTGTGGATTGGAGGAGACCTGGATTCTCAGGCTCAGCTAGTAGGTATGACCAGGCTGGAAAGGCTTCAAGTACTAGTCAGGTAAACTTTATGTATCTTGTCCAAAGTCCAGCCTGAGTTGGGGGAGGTCGTTGCCACTTTGGTCATAGGATGATGGATTTTTCAGCTCCAGCAGCCCTCAGAATTCATCTACAGAGTTATATTAGAGTTACTGTCCACATCAGTGAAGTAGCCACACAGACAGAATTACAGATTCATAAAGCATTAAAGTATTTTGTTATTTTTATATAACTGCCATTTCCAACACAACTTCGTAAGATTGGTAGTACAAATACTAAGAATTACCCTCCTTTTATAGATGAGAGAACTGAATCTCTGAGAGGTTCAGTGACTTGGTCTATGATCACACAGTTAAAAAATACCTGAAGCAGGATTTGAACCCAGACCTCCTGACTCCCAAGTCCTGCACCCTTTTCAGTGACATCTCACTACCTTTATTTTGACATGTAATCATCACAGTAATTTGACATGGTGGTAGAAAGGTTTGATCAATTTTAACTAGTAAAATTTATAAACAGCTACTAAAATATATGTGAGATTTAATTTTCAGAGGAGTATGGTAGGTAGAGGGAGAAAGGAAATAGAGACAATGAAGGGACAGTAGTTCAGAGATGGCTAGCATTATACTTAGCCCATGTATTGTTAGTTATTAACAGCAAGTCTGAATTATTTCCATTAATTTTTAGATGTTAAATAGAGTGGGGCATTCTGATGTTTTGAAGTAAAATAATAAATGTCCTACCTCTCACCACCAGCATTGTTCCTGACCCAGTTTGTTTAGATCTTGGTTCAGTTGAATGTGAAAATGCTATTCCACAGAAGTAAATTGCGCTGTCATTTAAAGCTACTGTATTTAGGGTGAGAGAAACTTGATTTTGGGTCAGTGATTCAGTCACTGTAAATTTGCCTGAGTCACCTAGGCATTGGTCTGGACACAAGTGTTCAGGTTGGTAGTGCGCATTTTGGCGAAACCATAGAACTTGAGGCTGGATTTTAGGGCAGTTGATAGCAGAGAAATCACATTGTATAGTAATTGTCTTACAAGTATAGTCCACTTCTAGAAGGGGAGGCTGTTTTATATTAACAATACATGTTTGGATAGCACCTGTTGAAAAGAAAGAGATAACAAAATTAAGATTGGTATTGTTTTTCCCCATCTTAATGATATTTCAGATTTTCTTCTGGTATTGAGAGCCCTGTGATCCTATTTATAATAACTCCTTTTTCTTAATTCTTTCAACTATAGTCAAAACACTTTTAACGTATTTCATTTCATATAGCTCATATTTACATAGTGCTTTACAAATCACTTTAATGCCACAAGAGTTCTGAAGCAGAGCAGATCTCCATTTTATAGTTGAAGAAACTGACACGGTATACTTTACCAGTCACACAGTAAACATAGCAAGTATGAGATTAGAATCCAGTGTGCATTCTCCCTCATTTCTCTCTCTCTCTCTCTCCCCCCCCCCCATCCTCCCGTCTGTATCTCTCTGCCTGTCTCCATCTCTCTCTCTCTCTTCTCTCCTTCCCTCCCTCTTCTCCTCCCTCCTCTCCTATCCCTCTTTTTCATCTCATCTTTCTTTTCCCTCAACAGAATAGCAGATGGTACAAATTAAACACTTTACAACTCTGGGATTTAAAAGGACAGTTTCCTTTTACTGAAAGAGAAATGTGGGAGAAAGAACAAAATGAATTGCAGTGGTTTCCTATTATCACATTGTTAAACATGTTAAGCAATACATAACAAAAAGGGAAGTTTGGATAAACTGTTACATCACAATCTGCTCATGTGATAGTTCTCTAAAAAGTCACATACAAGTATAACATTTTATCTTTAATTTAAATTGGCCTTTTAATTGTTAAATGTTAAGTTTTTAAAGGACACTCGTTTCCAAAGTGAAATTTTGCGGCAAATATTTCTTTCCTCTTTTAAAAAAAAAAAGGTGATTTAAAATCATTCCCTAATGTAAATATAACCTATTTTATAAATTCAGATTTTATATGTTAACTTTTCTACAGTGTAAATCAATACAGAAAAACAATTTCTAACTGTTGAAACAAATCTTCAGTCTACTCATAAAGATGGGGGGGAACTACTTTCAAAAATAAGATTGAGAATAAACTCATTTTCAAAAGCAATTTTTCCTCTGCGTCTTCCTTAGTAGATCTGAGATTCATTTCAGCTATTAGAAATGGTTTTTCTGCATTGATTTACATTGTGGGAAAGTTGACATATAAAATCTGAATTTATGAAGTAGATTATATTTACATTAGGGAATGATTTTAGATCACAAGCCTCCTTTTGAATTTAAAATACTTGATTTCCCTAATTTCACTTTACATACACAATTCTCAGGAACACATCTTTAACATATTTACTGAATACTTGCTGTGTGTAAAACAAAACAAAAGCTTGATTAGTGGCTAAATTGTGGTTACTACTACAAATTAAATTATTAAAATTATACTTCTGGTTCTTTGCTTTGTTAAATATTTCTGTTTAAAATTGAGGGAAAGGAATTTTAAGTATAAATAGAAAACTCACTCTAAGCTATTTTTAAACTTATCTCTCTAGTGAAAATTGGTATTGCTATACTTTAGACAATTTCCATTATGTTATACATTTTAAAATTAACTTGTAGGAGCTTAAAACCTAAATATATTGAAAGAAAGAGACAATAATTCAATTAAAGTAGGGAAAAAAAGCTTACCAATGTACAGTAGAATGAGGTTAAATTCCAGAGTGATAATGGTGATAACTCTGTTTGGGGTTGCCATCTTGTTCTACATACGTTTGAAAATGGATCTGAATTTTTTTTTTAAAGGAGGAGCTAGGGAGAGGAACTATAGCTAGGAACTGCAATCAGGAAACTTTTAAAAATTGCATCAACTTTTTTTGCAGCCACAGAATTTTATCCTTCAGAATAGAAATTCTAGTGTATAGCTTATTCCCAGTTGTTAAATAATACTTTTTCTATGATGTCACATATCTTTTGTTAAGGGATTTTGACTTAATTTTAATTGAATATGAAAGATAATCAGGTATTCAGTCAGAAGCCTCAGAACATCGAGCACCATGGTTGTTTGTCCTTCATTCTCAAAGAGAACCATGACATCAGGGAGGTGATGCTATGACATGCAAGTGAATTGGATTAAGTGAAGGAGAGTTGTGCAAAATCACCAGCCTCACTTTCTCCTCCAGAGCCATCTGGGTGCAGAGGCAAGTTATAGATCAAGATGACCAGAGATGGCCTCTGCCACACATGGTGGAGTGGTAGTGGAATATAGAAGACTGTGACATAGTCACTTTCCATGGGGTTGGACTAGGTGACTTCTGATATCAACTTCCAGCTTAAAATCTATGATCCTTTGCTTACAATATAATTGAAGAGACATGATACTGTGTGTTTCAGATTGTATGTGTAAAAGAATTACGGTACTGGGTTCTACTTATGATCCAATCCAGTATCGTTTTCCTACAGAAGCGTCAAGGGATGGTTTGGTAATGGTAGTTGTCTTCTAGGATACAGTCCTCAAAAGTTAGAAATATACCTTAGCTTTCCTTAATTAACCCTTTCCAAGTCAGTATCTGTGTTCACCCTGATTAAGTCCTAGTAGTCATGAGTTCTACAAGTTTACTGTATAAAGTGGGAAAGTAGCACTTTATATTTGTGTTAGAACTAACTTGTACATTTCTGTCTAATCATCCATATTTGCAGATTTGGTGATAAAGTTCATGTTGCTGTTCACCATCATACAACACACTGGCAAATCGCAAAGAGCAATGTGTATGTGAAAGAGACAGAGAAAGGTTCAGAGACCAATTCTGGAATGAAATGCAGTAAGAGGCAGTGGAATGATATACTAATAATCTAATAATAAGCAGAGCATCAGAAGGGAGTAGATCTGTTTTAAATCTTGACCTGGCTCTTTACTGCTTATGTAACTGTAGGCAGGTTCTTTCACAAGCCCTGAGTGTGCTCATTTATAAGATGAGGATTTAGACTTTCAAGCTCCAGTGCTAAGTTCCTAAGAACTCAGAATCTGAAAGAAATACTGCTATTAAGAAATGAGATCTAGTCAAGAATTTAACTTTTTATTTCTGTTCTGTTTCAGTAGGAGGCAAATGGGAGAAGCCCTCTGAAATTTTGGAAATCAAAGGACAGAACTGGGAAGAACAAGTGAACAGTCTGCCTGAAGTTTTCAGAAAAGCTGGTTTTGTTATTGAAGCTTTCACCAGGCTGCCATACTTATGTGAAGGTGACATGTATAATGACTACTATGTATTAGATGATGCTGTCTTCGTTCTCAAGCCAGTATAAACATGAAGTAAAAGTCTCCAGAGTCAAACCCAAGAAGCAGCCTCTGAAAGAGGTGTTTGATTTGATGATGATATAAAGGGAGGGAGTTTGGGGGTTGCCATTCTAAATATCATGTAAGAATTTTAAGGCCAAAATACTAATGTATTTCTTTGTAGTATGTTTAAAAGGGCAGTTGTGGTTTGTTTGTTTTTTTTAAAGACTCTTCATTTGAGAATAATTTTTACCAATTCTTAACTCCAACAGTGCAGTCCACAATCCAACCACGATGATAGATATTTTTTATACTTAACTGCCATAGGGACTCATATCCAGACAAAGCAATAGTCGCAATTTCATACAACCAGTGTATGGATTGTTCTCAATAGACTGGCAATAAAGCTGTCTGTTCAGTTCCGAACATTGTTTATAGTGTTGCAAATGATATTCTTCCATGTTAAGAAGTGACTTTCTCTCTGTCATTCTTCGAAAAATGTTTTTAATCATGCTAATAAACCTTTTTTTGAGATGACTTGGGTGTCTTGTTTGATTTAATTGATGTTTAGCCAGGGTCCAGGAAACCATTTGTTAATGGCATCTTCATTTGCTTGAGTTCCAAAATGAGCTGAATGGATGTGTTCCATGTTCCATACATACAGTCATGTATCTTCAATGATAGACTGGCCTTTGAGTCAGTCATAGGTCAAATTAATCATGCCTTAGTGGGAAGCCTTTCATGGATTCCTTTAGGGAAGAGAGAATTAATCAATACCTGCCCACTCTTATAACACAGGATATTCCCTTTGGTTCTTGAGCTTATTAGAAGGGTGGCTATCACACTGAATGTTGATGTAGTGCACCTGTTTAAAAAAAAAAAGACAATTCCAATACTCCGCTCCAAAGGAGTAAAGGCCAAGGTGCTAAAAAAATTCATTCATCTAGCCTTGAGCTGTATGTCAATCTTAACATTCTGGCAAGAATGAGAAGATGAGTAAACTTAATTGAAACCACCTGGCAGCTTTTCTGATGGAAGGATCATTGTTGAAAAACCAAAATCAGGGGGCAGCTAGGTGGCACAGTGGATAGATAGAGCACAGGTCCTGAAGTCAGAAGGACCTGAGTTCAAATTCAGCCTCAGACCTAACACTTGACACTTCGTAGCTCTGTGACCCTGGGCAAGTCACTTAACCCCAATTGCCTTAAAAAAACAACAACAGCAAAAACTCCCCAGGTTTCTTAATTCTGGCCATGTGAAAATGTATTAAGTTCACAAGTTAGATGATGACTTCATTATTTCTTAAACAATGTCTTCCATCTAGGATGCAAATTTGTAGCCAGGTTTTGGTAGCTCATGCTATAATCCCAGCTGCCAGGGAGGCTGAGGCTGGTGAATGCCTTGGAGTCAGGAGTTGTGAACTTCAGGCTAAATCATTGTGTGTTTGCACCAAGTTAAGCACCCAATATGGTGAGTGAGCCTCTGAGAGGGGGTGTGTTGGGGGAATAAGGTTGCATAAAGAGAGGCAAATCAGACCTATGAACAGCCCCCCCCCCTCCATCCTGGGTTCAATAGACTCAGAATTTTTGTTGTTGTTGTTGTCATTTAGGACGCAAATTTGTAGTTGTCTGCAACAATAAAACAAATTCTGAACGTCCTCGTTTAATCTTTCTTTCTGTTGTACTTGAACCCCTTTCTGTCTGGCCACTCCTGTCCCTTTCAGAAATCCTTTCAACAACACCTACTTATATTGACAAAGAACAGGGTTGGTTGTGTATTTTTGTAAACAGATAATGTTTCACTCCTACATTCTCTAAAATGTAAGCGCCTCTATATACCTCAAAATATTATTGAGGCAGGGAGATCATTACAGAAAGAGATCAATAACCATTGTGAATAACTCAATAAGGCACAAGCCCTTAACTCAAATCCCATTATAGCTTTGAAATAATGGAGATGCCTATTTGAGAATATAGATATTAACATTATGAAATTATTCTTTTCACAACTTAATTTTTTTTATCCAGGTGTTCCACTGTTTTTTTTTTCTGTATATGTTCATGGATGTCTTCAAATTAAAACAGTTACAGCAACACCTAGATAAAAAGGAGAATATAACCATGAAAAAACTTTATAATGCATTAAGAACTGCATTCTCTCCTCTCCAATATGCTCCTCTATTATCATGGTATCATAATCAGAGTTGGGTTATGTGACTGTTATGCAAAATTGTTATTGGTGTATATTCATGTTTTACTTTTCATTTTTCAGGTATTCAAATAAATGAAATGCAAACACTTCACCCTACATTATAAAATAAAAATGAGAGAAAAGTAAACTTAATTTCACTTGCATAAGGACTATCTTTGTTTCTTTATGAAGCCCTTTCTTGAGTATTGCTGCTCTGTGTATTGAACATGGGTAAAGTTGAAGGTGCAAAGAGGCATTAGTATAAGTATTTGAATTTACTCCGATGAGTTCTCATGACTTCCAAATCAAGGATGAATTTAAGATTTAATTTTTTAATCTCACAATTCTTAGAGACAAAACATGTAATTAATTCATAAATTTACATTCAGTATTTAAAATATAAATCAACTTCCATTCAGTAAAAAAAAATAGAGGCCTTTTGAAGACTGGCTTATTTTTAGAAAGAGGGTTTATGATGAATAATAAAGACTACAAATAGTTTAATAAGAATTTCTTACAGGTTGGGAGAAGCATCCTTCCACTAGATGGCATTATATTTCAGCTATGGTCTGATAAATTTATCCACATTTTTCAGAGGAATTAATATCATCTTCAGAATCCAGTGAAGCTAGTCAGCTTTTGGTTGTACCGTCACTGACACCACTCCCCAGTGCCTAGCAGAGTGCCTTGCACAGAGTAGATATTTAATAAATGTTTGTTGAAATGACTTACTGATACATAACCCTTTATATTCAGCCAACAAGAGAGCTTCATTTATCAGTCCAAATAAATGAAGTATTGTGAGGATACTGAACAAACATTTATTAATTCCCATTGTGTTTGGCAGGAACAAAGATGAAATAAATTCTGCCCTCTGGAATCTTACAATCCAATAAGGAGAAATAAAATAATTTTTATGCAAGGTTAAGGCCACTTTCATCTGAGGAAATAAGGAAAAGATTTCATGGATGTGGTGTAACCAGAGATGAGTCTTAAAGAAAGAGAATTAGAATTGTTTGAGCAGATGCAGTAGAGGTTGGGTGGACTGGGCAAGTCATTTTAACCTCTGTTTGCCTCAGTTCCCTTATTTATAAAGTGGAACAATAGTAGCACCTACCTCCCAGGGTTGTTGTAAGGATCAAATGAGATAAAACTTATAAAATGCTTAGCACAGTGCCTAGCACATGGTAGATGCTATATAAATATTAGCTATTATTAATTAAAGGTAGAATCTTATTCTAGACAGGTGGGGATTGCATAAATAAAGGGATGGAGATGAGAGAGATGATAATGACAGACAGTCAAATTTGACTGAAACTTAAACTATGAAGGTAATGGTACTCATAGTAATAAAGAAATGTGACTAGTGGGGCATCTAAGTGGAGCACCGGCCCAGGAGTCAGGAGGACCTGAGTTCACCTCTGGCCTCAGACACATGATACTCATTAGCTGTGTGAGCCTGGGAAAGTCACTTAACCCTAATTGCCTCGCCAAAAAAGAAAAAAGAAATGTAAATAGACAGACTCATTTCATAACATACTATACCTGCAAGTGTGTCTCTCGTGATTTATAGACTCAGGAAGAAACAGCAAGAATAACAAAAGACTGAAGATTTTGCCCTACCAAGTATGGAGATCATGATGAATTTTTCAATGGCCTGCATAAAATGTGTAACATTTTTCCACAACCAAGTAGCTAATCTATGCTCTCCCTCCTAGAAAAGAAGGTTAATTGGGCTTTGGGAATGTCTCTCCACTCTTGAAGTTATCAGAGCAAATGAAGTGTGGGCCAGTGGGAGAACACTGACTCAAGAGTCAGAAAATCTGGTTTCAAGTCCCATCTCTGACACTTGTGCTACCTGTGTGACCACGGAAAACCACTTTACCTCCCTGGGCTTCTGATTCCTCATCTGTAAAATGAAGGGGTTGGGCTAGATGGCCTCCAAATTTCCTTCTATCTCAAGAGCTATGATTTTATTCATCAAGATTTAATTTTTTTTAACAAGAGAAAAAAGGTTCTGAAGAGACAGGAGAACCTTGTCTTTCGTCCAGAAGTTGGAGGGTAGAAGAATGTAACAAGAGCATAAAGACAAAGCTCCATTGTACACTTGGAGGGTACTAAATCACAAATATGAAGGTCTTTCCAAAGAGGAAGCATCTGGGCCATCTGAAAAGGGAACCGCTGCTTGTCTTCTAGGAAGGGTGACTTGGATCCACCAAGGTATGGTAAGACGGGGGAATCATCCAGTAAGAGTCAGAGGAAGAAGAGTAGACAAGTGGCAGCTAGGTGGTAAAATGGACAGAGTGCTAGACTTGAAACCAGGAAGAGCTGAGTTCAAATCCTGCCTCAGACCCTTTAGCTATGGGCAATTCACTTGACCCATGCCTCCGTTTTCTCCTCTGTAGAATAAGTATAAAATAATAGCACCTATTTCTCATGGTTGTGAAGATCAAATGTGCTTTACAACTTTAAAGCACTATACTGATGCTTACTATTTTTATAGTGACTCTGCTCAGGGGAACTGAGGCTGCTGATTTTGGGTTTTTTTTTTTCAATCTGACATCAACAACAAAGAGATTTTCCAGTTTTCCTCAGGCAAAAAGGAGACCCTCCCAAGATTGGCACACCTAGATGACTACTCTTCACTTGTGGTGACAAAGGATATTTCCATGAGCACTCAAAAAAGCATTGCTAAGGATTATGGAGTATTGAGCAAGAACACCTGGTTGGAGGGGAGGGAGGGGTACAGGGCCTAATTCTTTTTATCTCTAATACAGATCAAAGGCAAGGGCTTCAAAACAGAGAGGCAGATTTGGAAAGTGAATTGCTGATTAAGAAGATTGTTTCTGAGAATGAGTTTTGGATTTCAGGATCCCAGAGCTTAAAATATGGTAATGGTGGGCTCTTGGCCACCTAGGGATCAATAAGAGCTATTTACCTTACAAATTATTACTATGGAAGAAATGCTGGCTTTAGAATCAGAAGACTTGGAGGCGGAGCCAAGATGGCAGAGTAAAAGCAGTGACTTGCTTGAGCTCTCCCCCAAACCCCTCCAAATACCTGTAAAAAAATGGCTCTAAATAAATTCTAAAGCAGCAGGACCAACAAAAAGAAACAAATTTCCAGCCAAAGATAGTCTGGATGGTTGGTCAGAAAGGTATATCGCGCCGGCCCATAAGAGGAACGCAGTTTGGCGTGGGCACACAGGCCACAGCAAACCTGTAGCAGGCCTC